GGAAAGAGAAGGAAGGGGTAGGAAAGAAGGAAGGAAGACAGAAAGGAAAAGACAAGAAAAGGAAAAGGAAGGAAAGAAAAGGAAAAGGAAAGAAAAGGCGGAAGGAAGACAGAAAGGAAAAGACCAAGAAAAGGAAAAGGCAGAAAGCTGGGGAAACAAAGACCACAGGAAAGCGAAGCAAAAGGAAAGCAGAAAAGAGGCAGAGAAAGCAAGGGAGAGTGACAGGACTGGAGCTCTGTCCATGTTCAAGATCATGTCAAGGATTTCCGGCTCCCTGTTTGGGGTTTCCCGGATCGTGTTCACCAAGACCCTTTATGGACATTGCTGAAGTTTTCCAGCACTTTCCTCCAGGGACAAGAGCTCAGCAGAGACGCTGGCCCAACCGGCTGCAACCAGCCCTATGGGGGCAGGAGGAGGGCCCCAGCAGTGGTGCACCATGAAAGAGGAGTTTGGGGGAAGATTCTGATCAGTGGGGGAGCTCCCGGCCTGAGGGAGACCGGGCGAAAACGGCCTCGCTGGGGGCGGCCTGTGGAGACCAAGTCAGGGGGGTGTTGTGCGTTGTGGCCATGTGTCCTCTTCAAGAGGGCGCTAGGAAATGGAGTCTGTGGTGTCTGCAGCCTGAAAGCTTGGAGACTGCCTGGATCAAAGGAAGGGGAAGGGGGAAAGGCTCACTGTTTGGGAGAGTAAGGGGGAAGCAAAGGAAAGAAATGGAGTAGAAAAAGTGGGAAAAATAGAAAGTGAAGGAAGGAGGCAAGAAAGGGGGTTACAGGCAAGCAGCTGTGAGCATTGTCACACAGGCCCCAGGCTGAGAAACATTTCCAGCTGCTGTGGGGGAATTCTCCACTTTCCCATCAGCCCTGAAGATTTTGGCGCTAAGAAGTGCTCGCGAGCCTGCTGGGTTGGGATCGCTCTTGCCTTCCGTTGCTCAGTTTTCAATACATCATGGTTTGTTGAGTCCCACCTGGGGACTCTGCAGTTGGTTGCTCTGGACTGCTCTCCCTCAAGCATCTGCACTTTCCATGAGACGCCCCTAAACACTTGTGTTCTGCAGTGTGGGGAGGACCCTGCGTCTGATTCCTGGCTCCACCAGGAACCCTCAGGACACCCGTGCACACGTCCACCCCAGTCGCCCGTGTTGGCTGTTGCAGCAGAGCCCAGAGTGTCTCCCTGCGGGGGGGGATGGCTGCTATCTCCACACTCTGCGAGGAAGACAGGTGACCAGGCTCCTATCTTCAGCCTCTCTATCACTGTCTGCAGCTGGACACGAGTTGCTGGTGGTATTGGTCTCTCTTCCCAGTTTTGCTGTACGAGGCCCCGGGGGCTGCACGAAGGTCCATAGGGCTCCCCAGTCCCTGTTGGCACGCTTCCACAGCCCGGAAAGCTGTAACAATTACGGGATTTACTGGCATTCGAAGTGAAATTATTATGCAAAGGGACTCCAGCTATTTTATAATGGAAAATATTAAATAGATCTAAAATACAGGAATGTTCCTCTAAACCACATTAGAGAAGTTGCTACCTGGGGAGAGGAACGGGTGCAGGGAGCACACCTGGCCTGCCCACAGGCTCTGGGGTCAGCTCGGCGGGTGCAGAGAACCCCCTGCATCAGGAATATTGGATTGAGGCAGGAGAACGTGTCAGGTGCTGTGCGGAGGGGTGACAGGACCCCCCTCTCCCCACATTGCAGGCTCAGGCCTCGGGGCACCGTTGGCGTGGGGGACGTGTTCAGTACAGCGACATTTCTAAGGACCACCGGGACGTCAGCCATCACACTCACCCCTTTCTTTGTGCCTCAGTATCTGCACTTTGCTTACAAGCCTTTTACGTTCTGTTAATGGTTACAAGCAATATATAGAGAAGACAGTTTTTATTTGAAATACAACCTATTAAAAAAACAAAGTACTTCCAACATCATCAAAAACAAAAGCATTTTCACTGTTACAGCTTGCACTTACCTATCTATAAAAAGTTATTTTGGCACATTCCATAGATAACTCTACATAAGTAAAAACACAGGGTTTGCATCTGAGAGAATTTAAGGCAGAAAAGGGGCAGTACAAAGTCTTGGCAGATTGCTCGGTTAGATGGAGGAGCCACAAGACACTACGTGTCTTATTCTCATTCCATAAAAGGAATGAATAGGGATGCAACAGACTGCCCATAAAAAAAAAATGCAGATAAACCCACGTAATTATTTCCCCCATCAATATTCTCTCTGCCCTGTGGAGCTATCACCTCAGATTTTCCACACGTCACTTTATAAAGAACAGGGGAGCTGAAGGAGTGACACTGCAGAGACTCTTCACACAGTGAACGCAGGGCAGCGCTGTCCGGAGCAGACTGACACGACTGCAGGGAGAACGTCCAATCCTCACCTGCCAGGACACGTTTAGAAATGCTGCCTGCTGCAGTTTTTCTTTCTGTCCTGCTCTGGCAGGGTGGTGACAGTATCAGCTTTTTACCTCCATTACTCACCTGCCAGTTAGTAGCTACTAAGGCAAATTCTTTATGCTTCAGGGAAATACCAGATCAGAAACTTCTCCCAAACACACACAGCAGCTCCCTTGCAAACTGACCCCCCAAAAAGCAGCAGTTTAGGACAATTAAGTAACACCTTGAGCTTTAGAAGTATGTATTTGTGATCCAGAGATCTGGAGTTTCAAACACCGAGTGATAAAAGACCTTACAAAAATTAACTTAGGCTAAATACATACAGAAGGCACGCTTAGCAAAAACAATAAATGCAATGTTTATTTATGTTTATTTTACAAAAGAATACAGTGTAAGAATCACTGTCTGTTTAAAAGGCCTTTTCTAGGTAAGTATCATTATATGCATTAACAGAGTCTTTGGATCTGGCTCACTGTTATATGACATGGTGAAATTCTTCAGCCTCCAGAGCCTCAATCCTTGATTTTGTGATCAGACTTAAATTAGTATATCCAAGTTAAGTTTCAGAAAGCAGAATTTATCTTTCATTCAGAAAAATCAGAGTACAAGTCCAAATAATCAGAGAAATTCTTTAACAAACATGTTACCTTCTTAACAAAGAAATACCAATTAAAAACCAGATCAACAAGTAAAAGCATTATTTCCTATATTCGTGTTTTGCAGGCAAAATTCTAGCCTTAAGAAAAGGCTGAGGTTTCTTTATAATCTAAGTTTACTTGTGCACAGGTAAAAATAAGCCTTTCAACGCTCTCAGAATTTCCCTTGGGCTGGAGGGAGAAGGGAAATTTTCACAGACTTATAAATCAGCAGTAAAAAGAGAAAAAAAAATGAAAAAATATCTATAAAAAGCTCCCATATGAACATTTTTAATACAAAGAGGAGATATGACTACGCTCAAAACTGGCAAGAAAATTTAGATATTAGATGGAAAGACAACTGGCATGATAACCTGAGTTGACTATTTGGTGAAGCAGCCTTCAGAAAGGAATAAGCCTCAGGGTTTGGTTCTCTTTCACTGAGAAAGTTTTAAAGTGAATTTTAGTGCTCAGAAAAGGTGCCCAAAGGGTAACAGTGGGACCAACTTGCTGCTTTTGCCAGAAGGGGGTGCCCGTCCCAGCAGTCAGTATCGCCACCCTGTTGAGACCTGGCGTCTCCTGGGGCTCCCCTCGCCCGGCTGCGCCCCAGCGTGCGCCACCACTGAGGTAACAGCAACCGCAGCAGAGTCACCCACTTGTTTAGCGTAAAGCAGAAAGGGACAATATCAGGCCGCTACCAACTGGTGCTGAACTCCGTGGTCCATAAAGATTGCATATCCTTTTCACAGACTTAAGTCAAAGCTCCTTAAGCAAATTCTTATTCAAATATCTAGCAATACACATTCTTTTATTTTTTTTAGATTGATTTCAGTGACAGGAGGCAGAGAAATGACCCCAAGTCTCCATGAGGTTTCAGAAAGGGCTTACAGAGGTGCTAATAAACCTCAGCAATCAATCCTCATCCATATTTAAACACTGCCTACAAACGCTTGTAAGAACCAATTATGGCTTTGCAGTTTGGACAGGAGTGATCCACATCTCGGAGGGCGTCAATACAGAAGGGAATTAAGCAGCATCCACCTATACACCTGCAAAGGAAAAAGAAACTGTTTTAAACTTCTTAAAAAAAATCACAAGAAAAGTAGAATATATTTCCTACAGAAGCCATCTGCAAAACTTAAGCCATGAAGCTTCACAGAGAACACACATGGCTTGCAGGACCCGGATGCAGTTCTGAAACAGTCAAGCGAAGTCGAGCAGATGCGGGCTCCTCAAACCATAAAGTCCCAGACAGAAAGAGAACACAAGAGCGCTGCGAAACTGTCAGTTCCTTATTACCCTGCATCTGGAAAAAGCGCTGGGAGAATAATGAAGTGCAAATGCTAAATCTGCTTACCCCAGCAGGCAGAGGCCGCCGCATGAGAGCCAAGCCAGCGCTCCCGAGGTGTACGTAAGATGTGTCACTATCATGTTGTTACAGGACGGGCAGCACATCTGAACCGGGCGATCGTAAAATACTACTGGTTGCTGCACATACACAGTCTGAACTGTAACTGAGCAAAGAAACACAGGGTTTACCAAGGTGTAACTAAGGGAGAGTTAACTAGAACCACCAATTACTCTGAAATACTTGATGTCCAGGGCAATAACAATGACCACAAGATGTTCTAAGACAGAGACACACTCTTTAAAAATGAGTCTACATTCAAAACTGCAAAGACTGTTATTGATACGAGCTGTTACTGATGCTAGTGTACACTGGGAGCAGATGACTCGATTCACCCTGTTCCCATCAAAGCATGCTCTTGGTGCCTGGGCAGCGCCTGCGAGCCCTGGTCTCTGCATTTCTGCTCAGTGCCCCCGCGAGCCACTGCGGAGCGTTGAGCTTACCTGGGCTGGGCGCTGGCCCGGGCTGCACGAAGTACGGAGGAGGGCTCGCTCCCTTCGCGGCCTCTCTTTGCCCGGGCTCTGGGGCAGGGTAGGGGACAGGGTAGTTGACATTGATTCCTGTTGTCTCCTCATAAGAAGGCGGTGCTGACGGGACAGGGTAGCCACCAGGAGCAGACATCGTATGTAGAACACCCTGCGGAGAAAATATTTGTTGAGGGAAAGTGGCAAACAGACTGCATTCAGACAAAAAGCACGAAGGCAAGCAGCTTACAATACACATTTGCACACAAAAGTGTAGTGAATTTTTTGCTTTTTAAATATTAATCTTTGTTTTTATGTTACTGCTTCTTACTGACCTCATCACAGGACAAAGAAAAAAAAAAAACAAACAAACAAAAACAAGCAACTTCCTCTCTGTCTCCTCCCAACGCGCACTTTCCCACAGCCGCTCCTCCCTGGAGGCGCAGCAGCCGTGGGGCTGGGACCCTACACTGCTCCTGCGGTAACTCCTGCGGGAAGCTCCAGCCATCCTCGCCCGCTCCCCAGGAACCGTGTGGCAGCTCCCAGCTCCCCTCCAAAGCAGGAGGCACCACGGGCTGCCCAGTGCTTGACAAGTCAGGGGAACTTCGTGGGGGAGTGGAGGGGTGAAGTGCAAATGTTCAAAACAGAATATTCGTTTCTGCTGTGATCTGAAATGCAGAAGTAGTCATTCTGAAGGAAAAAGAAACCTCAAATGAGTAAGCAGAGCAATTCAAAGCTTTTATAACCCTCAAATATGTTTTACAGTCCTCAAATATTTTTAAGTGTTGCCATTTCAATGGGTTGTAAAGCAACTTTCCTCCAGTAGTTGTTGGGTTATTTCATTACAGAAAATAGGAACAACAGCCACTGCTCTTGCCCAAAGCAGAAAGACTGTGATGTGGGTGAGGCCCCCGCCTCTCCTGCATACCCACATCCCCCTGTGCTCACCCCAGGGCTTTGCTCAGCTCTGTCACGACACCAAGGCTAATTAAGAATCTCCCTTTTCCTCTTCCTCCTCAGGACTATCGAGGAGTCCTGTTAGAGCCGCACTCCCTTCTCTTCCGTTCCACCTTTCATTCCCCTGCATACATTTCAGTCTTTCCATTCAACACTACCTGGGAGAAGGACCGTGTATTTGGAACATGAATGCTACACACTTACAGTAATGCAGAAGCTATAATTAACTAGTATGAATTAAAGGAACAAGAGAAATCGCATGGATGAGTGAGAAAGTATTAATAAATGAAAAACAGACATACAACAAGACAGCATGGCTCACAAAGCTCCAAATTTTTTTTTGTTGTCAATAAAACTTGATATCAACAGTTCTAAATAGCATCAGTAAGACTCGTCCCATAGACTCACGGTATGAATCCAGCTATTTTGTGTACAGATCTGCAAATACAATAAAAGAGCAAGAACTTGTATTTTTTCCACTGTATATTCTTGGAGAAGACCTTCTCACAGAAATGTCTTGGTATATGAGAATAGTAACCCTAAATCCAAACTGTTCTGAAGCTCTGAATTAACACGTGGAATCCTACTACTAAGTGAACTATGGAAGAACTGCCTAATCTCTTTCCATCTATCACACGATAACCACATATCTTCACCAAGAAGAACATGAATTGACTATCCAGGTACTGGGACTGCAGAGAAGGCCTCAGATCTACCAGATGAGAAGCTGAATAGCAGCTGCCAGTGCCAGGAGGATGGCAAGCACCACGCAGGGATTCACAAGAAAACAGCACCTTAGGGCAGCAGTTGTTCTCCCTGCATCTAAAGAGTAGCGTATCTAAGAAACGAGCAGGAGAGGAGATTCCGAGGAACCGCAGCAAGGACGGTGGGGAGGGCCAGAACACAGGAGCCCAGGAAACTGCTGAAATCCAACTTCCTTAGTTTAAAAGAGAGACCAAAAATGATAATGAAGACGGACATCAAATAGGTACCAAAAATAAATCCTGAATGAAGTCCTCTAAGGCAACTTCTGGCAGCACAAAGAGTAATCAGGTTAAATTATAGAAAAAGAAAATACTTTTTTTTTCTCCTAATAGCTACCAGTAAGGTTATTTAAGCATTGGATAAACTGATTAGGGAGTTGTGGAACCTTAACTGTTTTTTAAGGCTATGATATATACAGAAACAACATATATATGGCATTTAGCAGTAGGTGGATTAGATGAATACTAGATGAATTTTATTCTGTTTTATCACTACATTTAAAAAGACAGGTACAGCGTTTTAATCGTAAACTCAGAATTACTTTGCCATACACGGTTAGATGCTAGATCTTCTGAAGAAATTAAGGCTCAACCATGAACAAAGTTCTTGTAAACCTAACGCCCACCCTCAGAGCTCATTGCAAGACACAATGCAGAATTAACTGAAAAACATTTTCAGCTATACAATCCAACTAGGACTATAAAAAGTTCTGGAATACCAAGTTATCAGAGCTTCAGTGAGATGATAAATGCAGGAAGGTGGAATGGTAACAAGCATTAACCCAAATAAAGATTAGATAGTAACAAAAACTCAGAAGGACATTCCAGAAAGGATTGCCAGCATTTTATTTTAGCATAGGCTAGATTTGTAGCTAGGATCAATAAGGACGTGATATCAATACTCGGCAGCACTATCTACTGCATAGAAGAGATTGAGGAAACCCAATGGAGAGAAACATCAGGTTGAAGGTGGATGAGTCAAACCTGAGTCAAAACCATCGATTGCTCAAATAAATGTGCGAGCAGAGCATAATTAAGCTGAAAGAAAGCCTGTAACATTACAGTATTATCTCAGTATATACCTGCAATGGTATCTGCCTGAACCACTGTATTTAGGACAAATGCACCTACCAGAAGAATAAGGTCGTGAATGAGCTTCTGTAATAACAAGAAAAAGCTCTGGCAAGATCAAGAGATACAACCTTCATACCAAGAAAATCTAATTTAATAAAAGCCTCTATACCAAAAAAGGGAAAGCTTCAGGGAAACCAATTCCTGAAGGCGACAAAGACAAGTAAGGAGCAAGAGTAGGGGGAGAACCTGGCATGTCCCGTTACTCAGTACGGCACTGCCTATTGATTGACCAGAGATTAATTTAGGGGCAGCTTTTTTGATTTCAAACAGGGAAAAGCTGACGAAAAAAAAAAAAAAAAAAAACTGAGCCATAGGGTCAATATTTTTCATTCTGCCATAAGAGAAATCAAACGGTAAAACTCTATGCCATGAAGTGACATACGGAGTAAGCAAGGACAGCTAAACATGGTTGCAATGTGCCAAAGCTAAATATGGATCAAAACAGCGTAGAATCAAGCAGATCAGGCTTTCTTAGAAGCTCTCTTGATCTATTAGACACTTTTTTTTTCAAATTAACGGAATAACTTGTTTTCTACTCTTTCAAAACTCCAGCTGTCCTGAAAAATCCCATCAGTGACTGCAGCCCAGCAAGACCCCTAGTCGAGTGTACTGTAACTAGCACTGCACTGCCTGCAGCCAGCTGCTGACTTTGAAACTGCAAAATTTCAACAGATTAGCTTAGCTCAAAAGCTGACAAAATGGGATTCCCCATTTTAGGTTCACTAAGGTATAAGGAAGCAAGATAAATATGTCTTTTACTGGTAAACAAAAGCTGCCTATAGTACTTTAGTGGATATGTTCTATAAGTTAGTGAATTGAGTCCAAAATTCTACCTAAGTCCTAAAAAAGTCTGAAAAAAACTTCACTGATCAAATACTGGAAAGGTAGTGCAGCATATCAAAGCTGGGTGACATTTTGGAAAATTACATCAGCTTTGCAAAATATATCAGTGCAGACCAAATTGAGAGTGCAATTTAGCCATTTTCCAGAGTTTTTGAATTGCTGCTTCTCTGTACAGCATCCCTTTCTAGACCTCTTAACTATAGCAAGAAATTGTAGGGGTCTGAGACACATCTTCTGAGAACTAACGAGAATGTGAAAAATTGGGAGCATCCCCCGGGATCTGACACCTCAGAGTCATCTGTGCTAAGAGCATCTGACTTTGCCTGCTTCTGTGTCATGTGAAACTAAAGCATTTCTCTCTCTGTTTTTACAGAAACACATAATCTGAGTCAGCTAAAACTAATACCAAACGCATCCCAAGTCAATGACATCAAAGAAAAACCAAGTTGGATAAGTTTTTAAGAACTGCACCACCTGAAATAGCATTCTCTCTTTGAATAACCTAACCCTCAAGCCCTCTTTTCTTTCAAAGAATGAGAAGAAAAATTTGAGTTAGTTTAAAACATGATTCATTACATTCCATTAGTCTCACAAGTCAATTTGTATTAGATGCCTACTGATTTGTAAGGTGCAACTCTGGACCACTATGACAGAAACCCACATGGCCAGAGAATCTCTCTCTTGTTAACAACATCTCCTTACCCTGCTGAGGTTTATGAGCTGTAACAGACAGTTAATGGTATGTTATGCTTTGTACACAGTTTTATAGGGCATTAATAGACCTTTAGTAGTTCCTGTTTGCACTTTGCACGGCCAGCTAATAACTTTAATCACGATATGTTTTATAGACGCATCTGTGACAATCAACTAATGCATGATACCTTAATGCTGACAAAACAGAAATGCAACTCAGAAACCAACACAGATGACACATGAAGTGATATGGCACTTCAAGCATTCATGCAGGATAGAGAAGACTTGACTTTCTAACATTGTGTTAAACTGCAGCCAGTTACATACAAAACAGCAGCAGTTTACTTATTCAGAGATAAAACAAGCTTACCTGACAAAAATAAACCAACACAGTACGAAGCTGATGACAGAGGCAAAACTGAACACGCAGGTTTTATCTTCTTAAAGCAGACTTCCAAATACTGTGCCCAAATGATCCAGAAGGAAAGGCTGGTGACGAGTGCTTGACTGTAAAAAAGGACAAAGATGACAAGAGGTATCAGGGAGGCCTAAAGTACCAAAAAGTCACCTGCAAGATGCAAACAGGAAACATCAACACAGTCCCAAAACAGAATATGCAAACGCTGCAAGGCCACCAAGCACACTGCACCAGGACTGGGTGTTCTTTCACACAGATGCACAAGCAGCTTCCATTTTTCAGATCCAAATGCCACTGCCTAAGAAGTCAGCAGTTCTGGTCTCTGTACCAAGGCTTTCACCACCCTCC